TCATGTATTATTAACAAATATTTTAGGAGCTTGTGCAATACTTCTGAAGTAAATTCAACTCGAATTAAAACTAAAAATAGTACTTATTTTTTGTTGTTGTTTTATCCGTAATGTACTCAGAAAAATATACGATGATGATTATTTAAAACGTTGAACCATTTATAAAATAATTCCTATATATTATATTGAACAACTTCTATGTTGATAAATCTCTCTATCATTTATTTTATTATAAATAATTGTAATAATAAAAACAGATTATTGAGATTTATCAGATATACCTGACAAAAATTTAAATAATCCAACTCAAAAATACGTTTATATTTTTAAACTAATGAATTAAGCCAAGTGTGCCTTACACTCATCAAGCTTATGTTTTACCTGAGAAAAAATGTTARGACCCATTTTATATTTTTGCTTAGGGAGGCCCACATTTTTGTGTCACAATATTGGTGAACGCGCCACGACATATTTGATACTGCATTATATGTCATGTATATCGTTTACCGGTTGGTTAGCACATGTTGCATGCTACCCCCCCACGTTAAACACTAAATAAACATAAACAMCATACTCAACTGTTGTCCCTTCATATTTTATTTATGATAAGTAGTTCATCGACCTCCCAATCTAACCTGTACACGTTTCATTTTTACTGGTGTGCTAACTAGCCTCAATCTTTTTTGTACTACACAGTACGTATTTTACCTTCTTATTTTTTTCCACTAAAAAACGATTGCAACAATGACATCGCAAAGTACGATAGTTCTAGATATTATATTTTTTACAGAATGAATTTATCTTTTTAAATACARTAGTACTATCAATTTATTCTAAATTATAAGCAAATACTTCAGTATTTTCTTATCATATTAAAATTAATTTTATTACAATAGGGACCGATACATTCGCAACAACATAATATTAATTATATTATATTAAAGATAATAGCTGTTTACAAATACCAGTCGTAATTTAATTAATACAAATCTAAAGATACGAAACCATTATTACCTTGTAAACAAAACATACACAGAATACCGCTAACCATTCCATTAAATAATTWATACCAAAYAATTCTCTTAAGTCATTTTCTATGAACAATGTTAGCTCATAGTAACTACCAGCTAATCATATACGGAAAAAATGTTACCATTACTTATTATTTAGATACCTATTAATATTTTATGTATACAATATGACATAATATTCAAAATATTCAGATAAATTTTGAGATATWTATATTATGTAGACTGTAGKTATATGGTATTAACTTAAACTTCTACGATTACGAATACAAATGTAAACTTACAATTTGGTTTATGGATGTGAATTCAATTTCTAAAGAAACCGTTCGTTAACACACTAACAAAGAATGGATTATATTTCGATCCTTAGTAAGTTGAATCATTTTATATAAATATTATATTGGAATTCTAAACATGGTATAGAAAATATTTCGATGGTTGTATCAGTTTTCATGAAATTATTTAATTTAAACGCGATCCAAACTTTTTTGTTTGAATACGTTTTTAATCAGTAAACTAACATAACCCTACTTTTATAAATAGATGAGTATTGATCTTTAACTTTCTCAAGTTTTGAAAAACTRTAATTAAGATAAATAATTAATTATTACCAAGTACGTGCAGTGCCAATAGTAATACTATGTTATACATGTATTTTAAATTGTTAAAATTTCATTATACAATAATGTAAACCTCTTTAACAAAAAATAATTTAACGAAAATTCAACAAATTGACTAAGTAATAATTAAAAAACAGTTAACATAACGATATCTTCTTAATTTTTAACAAATTAATAAAATTCATATACATTTTGACAAATA